GAAAATCACCATGTATATACAACCTTCCAAAAAACAATATAGCGCTTTTCAAGATTTCATTTTGTTACATTCGTTTTTGTGTCACCTGAAGTTTCAACAAAGTCACTTCTAGGTATACCAGGAATTTACAGTTAAAGAAAGTTAAAAGCGAACATGGAAGTGCGGGTATCTGCTATACTCACTGGCAGATCAAGGAACGCATATTTCTAATTGGTCATGGAGGAGTTCCCGGTGATTTCGTGCGAAGGTTAAACTCAACATTTGCATAAGTATCCCTTTTTACACTGATTTGCTCTCGCTTGGCGGTTAGCTTTATTATAGTGACTACCACCTTAAAAAAACCTTGCATGTATGCTGGTATCATATTATTCCTCCGCAGTCAACGAGATTTCGATAATCGCAGATTAGAACACCAAAGATGGACTAAAATTAAAATAAAAGCAAATATAATACCTGGCCTATTAGGTTCAAATATATTTCATTTTGAGTCCGTCTTCTGCGTTGTAATCTGCGATTATCAAAATCTCGTTGATTGCAGAGCAATAATGTTTAAACTTCAGAGGCTTAATATTGATCCGAACGTTATTTGGAGGATAGGTGATTACTTGGATTCAACGAAACAGTCCATGGGAATTGATGGAATCCAGTCCCCGAATGCAAATGTTACTTCTGGTGTCCCTCAGGGATCGGTGCTAGGAGCCGCTCTCTTGTTTTTAACTTTTATTCACGATATAGTTGTAAACGCTTCCTCGAACATAAGATTGTATGCCGGTGACCGTGTTTTATACAGAGACGCAGGTTGCAACACTCGCATGCTTTCCCTCCAAACCGACTTAGATAAGATTGCGGCTTGGTGCTTTAAATAGAGCATGGTAAATATTTGGGAGTTATTTTTTATCAATCTAACTTGGAACAAACATGTTGACTACATCACTGCAAAGGCTAGTCGGTCACTGGGTTTCTTTAAACGAAAGTTTAGGTTAGCTTCATTATCGCTAAAAGAAACCCTCTTTTTTCCGCATGTACGATATATTCTTGATTATGCGTGTACAATCTGGGACCCCTATAGGCTAAATTTGGAAGACCACATTGAAAAGATCCAGAATCGCGCTGCCAACTTTGTTACGGAAAATTATAATTTCAGAGTAAGTGTTACTGACCTTAAGTCGTCTCTGGGTTGGAGGCCTCTGAGTCAAAGACGTCAATGCCCCCGTTCGAAACTTTTATTTAACATTTTTTTTTCACGAACATAGTTATATCTCTAAATCAACATATCTCCTACAGCCTGCTAGCGTGTCCCTCAGAAAAAGTAATTTAATGAAAATTCGTCCATCTACATCTAAAAATAATGTATTTAAATGTTATTTTTATTTCACGGTTGATTGATGCCTGGAATAAAGTACCTCATGAGGTTGCAGAAATATCAATGCTAGAGCTGTTTTTTGATGAATTCCAGTTGTTTGTTTTAATCTCATGTTGAAGAGCCTCTAAGATTGGAATTTGTTGTGTGTTTTTCGTACGTAATGACGTTTCATATTTGTTATAATATTTCGATAACGTATAATCTTTCTTGTGTACTGTAATGCCTTTTTAGGCGTTGTAGGAATTCAAATAAATAAAATGTTGGGAATACATATATCAGAAGTAGCCCTATTTTTCTACTGCTTTGACCTGTGGAACGAATTTAAGTGAATAACGTGTGAAGTGTTAAATAACCATTTGTGTAATATTACAGAAGAATGGTACGTATTTGTGTATGTTCTAAGGGTATATACTAGAATGGTATGTACTTGGGCTAGTTGGTGACCCATTGCGCAGCATAAAAGCGCTAAAAAGACGAGGGACAAGTTAGAAGACGACGAACATCAGCCAAGGCTACTTGCAACTCAAGTTTAATACAAAAGAAAACATATTTGTCTGATATTAATAAAGTTCAGCAGCTAAACGCGCTCTTTTTCGTTCGTCGCCAACTGAAGTTTAATAATAAAAATATTTATTTTCTATTATTAAAGTTCTGTATTCCATAGCGCTCCATGGCGTTGATGTCCTTTAACTTGCCCATCGTCTCTTTAACGCTTTTACCCCATCCAGTGTGCACCTCATATGACGCCTGTGAAGCCTGCAGTTTTGTTAAAAAAAAAAAACGAATGTTTATTTTTATTTTATGTTGAATAAGTGGTTACACTAATCGGCCATTCCGGTACAATGTAAAATATAGTTCCGATTGGTAAACCACTAACCGATGTGTGTTCTGTTTCGGAAACTATGTGTCCTCTAACTATGGTCACTGAAAAGACGGGAACGGCCGGACGTCTCTTCCGAATGCCCATCCTCCAGCACCTGCTCGGTGTCTATAGCCGCGCTTTGGCAGCGCGACCAGGTTCGTCGCTCGCGATAGTCTCAAGCGTCGTCGATGGTAGAAAGGAAGCGCTGGAAGCGGCACAGCTCATGCTGCTCCCTGCAGTTCTCGTCCTGGCAGTGGCTGTATAGGAATTCGCACGTCAGGGCTTCGGAGAAACAAATGGGTAGCGCCCAAGGGAGCTTGGCACGACTCTTAGAAAACCAACTCATTGATGACCAAGCTCAGTTCTTCATAAGAATAAACTTGCTATTTTTGCTCCGTGACTCATTTTATAGTTTACAGCTCGGTACAGCACTGTTTCATACTGCTTCTTAGATAGCAAATTTAGTGCTTTAGGCAGAAGGTTTCTTCCATGCCATTTTAGTTTCGTCGAAATCTTAAACTAGACCAGTATGGATAAAAATAAAAAGTAATTCCCCCCCCCCCCCCCCTCCCAGTTAAAGGAAAACGACTGCGGTTGCGAGCCTTTTTATGCTCGTGATTTTGAAGATACACTAAAATAGAGAGTTAGAATTTGAAAGGACCTACTGCACGTATAAAAAAAAAAAGTAAAGGAAAAAGTTTCTTTTCTCAATAATTACTGGGTGGAAAATCTGAATGTCACGGACTGCTAAGCCCCGCCCAGTACTTACGACGTGTTTAGAATTCTCAACAACTGCAGAAATGATCGATGTGTAAAATTTTAGGCGTAAATTGCTTCTCAGTGCCGGAATAGTGTTTTGGTTGACATATACTTATGTTCGAGAAACAAACAATCTAAAAATTTCATGATTTTTTTTAAGGAATATTGCAAGATCGTTTTTTCCGCTTTGGTTTCAGACGGTCACAAACATATAAACAGATTAGTAGTGACAAGGCGGCCATTCTACGAGCTCTACCAACGTAAAAGCACACCATATAATCTCGGAGATAAAAATTATATGACACCAAAATCTCTAACTAATTATGGTTCACAAAGCTTAGCACATCAAGTTCCAGAATTTTTAAATCAGTATTTGGAAATTTGAGAAATAGTTAACGACGCTAAATCGTCTTATAGCTTTAAAAATTGTGTGAGAGCTTACTTCTTGTTCAATTTCGGCTAGTGTTTTTTCTACAATTGTTGATTGTGCGGTTGTGATGCAGACAGTATGACGTGTGCTCATGTGAATGTATTATTACTTTTGATTTGGATGGTACACGAGTGTTATGTGTATTTATATTACTACTTGCGATACCATTTTAAGCTTTGTCTGACCACTTTCTGAAAACCGTTGAAAATTAATTTGTTATCATATTCACTATCCTTCCGCTACTGAACGATATACATGGCTGGTGGAGCCTCGTCAGGCGGCGTCATATCGCCTTTTGCCCACCAGCCAAGACTACTGAGTCGGAATAAAGTTTATTATTACCATAGAAAGTTTTGTACAAAAAAGCGCCTTTAAGAGTGGAACACGATAGCGTTATTGGGCCCCGTTCGCGAAGTCTTTTCAGAGGAAGAAACGCTTGTTGGTAGCGTCACGTGTCACGTGACATCAGACGTGAGCCAACGTTATTAGATTATCTCAGTTGTGGAAATCCCGCGGTCGGGGGCACCCCCCCTCACTCACCCCAATCCGCCAAGTGTCGATCGAAGCGCCATCTATGTTTTCGTTTCATAACTATGCGTTCCGAAGAGCCCCGCTGAAGCGCCAAATGGCGATCACAACGGCGCCATTTACCTGGCAGCGGTCGCTCGAGGAACCGCACCTAACATCTATTTTGGCTTCAATCGGCGAATTTCGGAGCCGAAACAGATACAGTGGATAGGGTTACAAGGATGCCACCCTCGTCTCCCCAACGGCCGCGCCGCGAATTCACCCCGAAGTTAAGATGAGCCTAGGTCGGGACGCGCTACCTGAAATCCCCGCTGACGCAAGGTTGTATGAAAAATATATTATTCTGCCGCAAAACCTAGCAAACTAAAGATTTTAGAAAACATCACGCGCCCCCCATTTTGTGCTAAACTCCAATAAAAGTTACTACAAAAAAAAGTTTTTTTCCGTTGGTTTTTACGTTTCTAGTAACGTTGAAACGTACGTCTCCTGATTTAGTTACAAAAGCAGCCGTCTGGCGGCGCGTCGAGCGACGCTTGGCGAGTCGTGGTAAGTGGGGGGGGGGGGGTACTGTTCGTGCATGCGGCGTCTATGAGCAGTTCCGTAACTGAGCTAATCTAATAACGTTGACGTGAGCGTTGTGGGTTGCTTGAAATTCCAGTGCGAGACCTTGTGAGGCGATGTCACACGCGTAACATCACGTGTGACGTCACACGTGTGATGCAATACGTGACGTCGCACGTAGCTCATTAAACATCGCACGTAGCTGTGTCGTCATGACCCTGCCGACCCGCTAAATTTAGCGGAAATATTTCCCGCCAAATATAGATGAAAGATTTATCCGAAAATTTAGCGGGACATTTTACCCACACATTTAGCGAAAAATATTCTCGCGAAATTTAGCGTAAGAATGTATCCCTCGTGACGTCACGTGTGACGTCACCAGGTGCATACCGAGATTTTCCTGTCCCCCCAATGCCTACGCCGACGCCGGATTTTCTTCGACACGAGCACCTAAATGCAGTCGCGTTAATGTGTTTTTTAATCTTTCATTTGTGCAGTACAACCGGAACCTGCAAAGCTTGTGTATAGACGATGCATGCCATCATCCAGAGAGTGATACCTATAAGAAGTACGTGTCGAAGAATTCACGAAAGAATAAGGTGCCACCAGGGAAAAATTCTGGAAAAACACCAAAGACTCCGAAACGCGAAGATGAACCACCTGAGACGCCAGACTATGCGGATGAGGACTCTGAACAGGACGATGAACATAAGGACCCAGACGAATATGATGAGAATGAGTATTATGACGATGAAAATGATGATGACGACGATGAAAATGATAATGACGACGATAAAAATGATGATGACGACGGCTACCAATATCACAAAGAAGCGGACGATGAGAAGGAAGAGGGAGATGAGGACAAAGCTAACAAAGAGGATGACGAGGGGGATTGGGTACTGCAGAATAGAGAGGGGAAAGAGGAGGAAGAGAAAGAAGAAAAGGAGGATGAAGGACCAAGAAGGAAGATAGATCCAGAACAGTTAATAAACTAGAAGCCAGATAAAGGCAACGGCGATAGAAGGGGTGGAAAGCACGTTTATCGAAGGTGGTAGGTTTCAATAAACAACCCATGCTATACCTTCCATTCGTGTTTTCGGTGTATTAAAAAAAAAAGATATAATGAATGTCACCTCTGCCTTTATTCAAGATAGTGACTTTCGGGTCGGTTTGCTTTTAAAGAAGGTCGAATATTGTGAATGCTATAATTTTACTTCGGTGCCTTTCTTCTGTCCATGCTGCAGAGTTCGACGCATTTCATCCAGAGAAATGTGCGACAAGCTCAGTTTTACATATACATCTGAAAGGAAGGAGTTAGATTGGAGAAGGAAGGGACAAAATACTACAAAGGGTAAATGTACAAATATTGGACCATCGGGATAATGACTTCCTAGTGGGAACAACTTTGCCATTATAGTGCATTGTATGACACACACACCAGTTGTTTTTTTTGGTGCGTGCTATGAAGCGATTTCGCCTCACGTACTTCCAGTTTGAATTCTGGCTGGACGCAATGCTGATGTTATCTAGTCCTATATCATTGAATGTGCAGATGCAGATTTTTTTTTTTTTTCAGGTTTCTCGATTTTTTTCTTTCAGTCAAGTACGCCAGCCAGAGTAGTCAAGAACAGAAAGGAGCATCCGCTGGTTAATGGCTTTTCAACATACCGTTCTTTGTTCGGACTTAAGACGAGTCGGCAAGCGACAAGTCTACCCGTATCTCCGAGGCCAAAATCACTCCCATAATTAACGTCGGGGCTGCTTTGAAAGAAACAAAAATATGGGTTATTGCAGCCCAAATACATTCCCAGTCGTAATGACAGACTTCAGTCGTCGACTTAGCCCTTCCACATGCCCGAGCGTTTCACCAACACGGAAAACGACGCTAACAAGTACTTAACCTCTGCATGATGACTAATGGGAAGTGGCGGACGCTGTTCATCAACTTGGTGGAACTTTACCGCCCGGAAGTCGGAAATTCGCTTTGTGAAAGAGCCCTATGGCAAATATTATTCAACAAAGACAGAAACAATTTATTTGAAAAAGTAGTGGCGTGTCTGAAAAATGCTTGCACTAAGAATGTTAAGAGAAATATTCAACTATATTCCCGTTTAAATAAAACTAACAATAAAACACAATAACATGTCACATTAAAAAGTAAGATAACAAGACTATATGGTTAACTCAAATACGTTTTATATGGAGATATCACAAATTTGGAAATGTCCTAACATTTCCCGCAGTTCTAATAAATAATCTGTCTCTCGATGGTAGCACGTACCATCAGGAGCATTATTCTCTTCACTTTTGCCATGATTATTAGGCAATACAGCTTCAAAACAATATAATGTATTATACAACTTCTCATATGACCCGTTTATTCTAGAAGCAACAGGCAGTACTTTGATAAAGCGAAGAATTATTGGCTAGCTTGATCGGCGTTGCAAGCTGTGCAAAAGTCAAGCGGCCATATCGAAAAGGCGGGTACTGAAAAAACCGTAACGTATCAAAAATTTTTAACACATTTTTTTAAATAGGTAGACATCCTCCAATTCGTGGAATAATTAGCAAGGAACCCTTTACTCAACCTCTCGGTGGCGTCATTCGCAGTTTCTTTTCTCTTTTCTCTTTTGGTGGATTAAACACACTTTTTACCCACATATTGTTTGTGTTTGATGGCAGAGCTGGTGTTCATATTGCTTCTGTCCTTGTGAGGCTCCAATTGAAGCATACTTTTCGTAGATGTATACTCACTTACATACATGCACGGACATACAAAAATGCGACAGTAACAGAAATTTCATTGTAGTTGTTTGTTTCCTTTAATTAACTCGTTTTTTATTTACACTTAATGCAGCCGAACAAATGTTTCGTTATCACTCTTCACCGTTGTCCAACTACGGTCGCATGTTATAGCTTTAAAGATGTTTAATGGAAGAAAGTATGTTTATTTCAACAAAGACTGCAGCAATGCTCTGGCCAGACTCAAGGAGAGCAAAAAAAAGATACAACGATATTTTCAAAGGTGCCGGAGTTATCAAAACTTTACTTGATGTTTATTCTCGGCTATCGATGGCGCCACGGCTGGACGAGCGTAAGGAAAAAGAAGGATGCCGGCGCGTGGAAGAACGGGCCAGCTTCAGGAACGCAGCTGCACCGACGGGCGGCGCCCGCGCACGTAACCCGGTGGAACAAGATAGAGTTGTCTGACAGTCGCCGCCTTGCCACGGGGTCGGAGTGTCGACCATAGAGTTATTATAATGTACGCTAAAGGTTCAACTGGCGCTTGTGTGCTGCTGCCAATATAAGCAGACAGCAAGCAACCAGTCCGAAAGTGACTTCCGGTAATGCATTTCTATGGGAAAAAGCGAGTGCATTTTCTCTCTGCGCTCGATTAAAAGAGCAAATATCACAAATAAATTGTACGTACTAGGTAGCTTGGAACGTTTCTCAGTCACGCAGACGAAATAATATGTCAGTTGCAGCGTTCTTATTTCAAATTCGTGGCATGGAAAACGGTGCTCAAACCGCTTCGTACGTGCACTTACGTGCACTGTCCGACACGGTTAGCGCGAACACGGCGTCGGCGCTTTTCAGCATGAGGGACATACCTGCCAAACGAACGAAGAGCATGTAGAAAACCAAGAGAGACGGCAAGCACTACGCGGTAACACTGGATAAGTAACTCTTTGTGCGCGAAGACGATCAAAATAAATTGAAAGTTACGTAATATAGTCAGATTTGAAATGAATAAGTACTGCTTTCTTCTTTCCGCCCATGATTATGTGCGAAGATGCTTGTTCTCGGTTCAAGTCATGACCCGGAGGCTCCGAATCTTTGCAAATGGTGAGAAGCCAGAGAACAGGTGCCCGATAAAAACTGGCCAACATAGGAAATAATGAAAAGACACACCTCTCGCAGCTCACATACTTTATTTTTTTAAACATATTGTAAAGATGCACGACGGACGTTTTGTATAATGACAGAACGGGCATATTATGAATATAGAAGCGCCACCGGAATGCTAGCGAACCTTAAGCGCACTTTACATTCCTTTCGATTGTTGTTTTGCTTAGAATCGTCGCTCGTTTTTACACACCGGCTGTGGAAGGGAGATTTGAGCCTGAAATATAGCGAAGTTTAACATCGTTCAGTGGTAAACAAGTATTTTGTAACTAAATCACTTACACTTTTAAAATATTAAGAAAGGTACATACTATCCCGTACAACCGAAATAATAAAAGTTTTTCGTGTTATTTTCCGGCGAATAGACAAAATTCAAGCGTTTTCCAATATGAATGCACAGAAGCACCGCAAAAGTAGACTGGTTGCCGTCTGGTTTAAATTTCCTCCCGGAAGTCGCATAGACACTAGCGCCAGTTGAACCTCTAGCGTACTTTGTAATAACTCTACGGTGTCAACGACTCGCTCCCATTTATGGCAAACACCCTGAGATGGCGCAGCCTGACAGGAGCGCTAGAAGCGCGAGGAACGGACCTTATTCGCGCTGAAAGTTTCAAGGCCGCGCGGCGCGCAACGGCGCCTCCGCGGAGAGTCCCAGCCAACTCTACCATGCCCTAGCCGGGAAATGCGCGAAGCCCAAATAGAATCTAGACCCCCTAACTGGCCTTGTTCAAACACCCCTTTCTTCTTCCACCATGTACCCTACGCAGCCACGAGATCATAGAGCGGCGTCGCGAACGGGTCCCCAGCTACGCGGCGCGCCGAGGCAAAGCGCTGACATACCACGAGGGTTGGTAGAGTCATATCGATGCTGGACGCGACTCCTCTTTACCCTGGTCTACCTGCACATCTGTGATATTCGCTAGACTGTCACCGGGCTAAGCAGCTTGTACCGGAAGCCACGTGCTCCGTTGTTCGTGCTTTCATAATCTTGATAGCACATATTTTGCACAGTATATGGCGCTGTCTAATTATTCTATGGTGGAAAATAATTATGGGGAAGCTGCGCAAATATTGACGACTTTATATCCCACTGCTTAGGAAAGTGGAATTTCCCTAATTCCCTCCCCTGCGCACTCACGCACCAATACTTTTTTTGACAAATATTCAAGCTAAATTAAAGTAAACATCGAGCTAATGCCCACCTTATAGCACAACAGCACAGTAGAGCAGGCTTGTACGAGATACTCACTAAAAGTATTTAAGTTAAGTTACTGAGTACCACGAAAAATAGTAACTGAGTAGAGAACTAAATACTCAAATTTGTAAAGTAATTGAGTAAAGTACAAAATATTCCAAATAAGTAACTCGTTACTTTCAAGATACTCTCAAGTTACACTTTTCTCTGCAATTCATTGTCAAGCACAACCGAAGTCAGAAAAAATTCTTCCTCCCAGCCACTATGGAATCTCCTGGAAATCTCTTAGCTAAACTTTGGCTGCCACTCAGGCTTCTAGGAGGCCCCAAGTAATTATGAATGAAACAAAAAAAAAAGTGTTTCTTTTACACTCTTGCTATGGGGAGGACATAGGCGAGAGCAACTCGGGGCCCGTTCGCCTGCAGAGGGAGTTTGTACAAAGAGGCTCGCCTCCGACGCTCCCCTTGTGTCAGGTGTACATTTCCGCTTCCCCCGTCAGTGCACTAGCGATGCCATGCAGTCGGGGGTCGGGGAGTCCAGGCCGGGGGAGAGCGGGGAGCCACCATGGTGGGCACCGGCGGTCATTCGTGCTACCGAAGACAATAGCGAGTTTTAGTAGACAGTAGCGAGTTTTAGTAGACCGTGTTTCCCCCTCCGCTAAACCCCTCCGCTACCCGGACATCGGCGCGCAGGCGCAGTGGTGATTTCTTCGTACCGGATTGTTAGCGGAGAGGGAAACACGGTCTACTAAAACTTGCTAATGCTGCGTACGCCGCGAGCGATGGGCCACCGGATTGGAGCCGTGTAGTCGCGTCTTACGAGTCTTGTGTCCTACGAGAATTAAGTAAAACGAACGAGCGGTGCGTGCGACTGCGTGTGGATGCTAAGGCATTTCTGAAGCTGGAAGGCTTTCTTTTATATGCTTTCACTCCATAACATAAAAAATAAACTCCGGTTTGCTGTCGACTCTTACCAGACACTTGTAGAACCCACCCACTCTCCGACACAAGTGTCCTCCCTCCGGTTTGTAGGCTTGGGCACATCTTATGTTTTCACCCGCATGCCCTTCAGCTTCGCAATCTCTGTTGCTCTTTGCCTTGGCCACAAACAATATCTAGGAAAATATGCTTTGACGTTTTTCGCACTTAGAAGACACGACACATGTCCGCTCGGCTTGAGGCTGCGACACCCGCTTCCCCGTGTCACTTCTTTCAGCAGAAGCACGGAAGTGCACTGTATTATCTGGCACGAAATGTATCTGTAACGGCAGGCGCCTGGCCAAAATAACTGGAGTTCAATATTTTCCAAGCTTCCCTCATCTAAAGAAAATAAAAAATTGAAAGTAACTTAAAAGTAACTTTAAAATGAGCACAAGGTATTTGGAAAAAAGTATTTAAGTTAGAGTACTAAATACGGGCGTTCGAAAGTATTTACAAGATACCAAGTCACTCACAAAAGAATTTAAGATACAGTAACTTGAGTCGATGATTTAAGTTACGTACAAGTCTTCAGTGGAGTAATATTCGTATCAGCAAAGAATCCCGAAAGCGGCTACAAAGGCGGGATCGGGACAAACCTGATCCCGCCTTGAGAACCTGTGCCGCTGCACTCAGTTATCTTCATTAGAGCGAGAAAAGCGGTCTGGGGATAAAGTTGTTAATGTTTATTTCTCTTCAGAGCTATAATTCACAATCGGCACTTCATTTTTAAACACAGGTTCAGTACACATTGTAAAGTATGAAAACGTTTTAATTTTCTAGAGAACAGAGACGTATTATGACTTGCTATGTGTAAAACACTACTCTGGCAGACGCTTTCCAGGTTGCGATGCGTTTGGGGAATCGGGTTTGTTAAACGTAAACAAAAAATGATTTTGCGATGACCTCAAAAAGTCTAATAAAGATTTACATAGTTGTCACTCTTTTCCTAATTAATATTCTGAATTCTTCAAAAGAAAAAAAAGAACGAAAAATAAAGGGTATGCCTGAACCATTTCCAGCAATCTTTAGACAGTTTTATGATAGCGTTGTTGTTTCTCGCGTACACGATGACCTGCTTGAACGATTTGAATCTACTATACCTGAATTGTTTGCAATCGAATCCCTGGCATACTCTTTCTGATTTAATTCCAGGTCATTCCTGATCTACGAAGCTTCCGAAAGGGAATAATGAGAATTGAAATGTTTGCGATCCCCTTAGCTCAAAGTGCTGTAGAGTACCCCCCCCCCTTCCAATTAATTACCGCTCCCCGGATTATGCAACGAAGCCAAATTATAATTACTTGTGAAACTAACAAGAACACAACATCACCCCTGCTGTCACTCGAAGTAGTTACCATTTTGAAATTGGTAGTTTCGCTTCACCCTTGATCTTACCAGAACTTCAGATTGTAGTGCGCCATGACTGCACTCCCGCAACACAAGCAAAAAAAAAAAACAGTGTTAATTTTGCACGTAATACCTGAGTATTTCTCTTTTTTTCTAAGCATGCACGATGCCGAGCCACAATTTATATGCGTACGGTTTATTATTAAATTTCACTATTAGCCAATTGTTACTTTGCACGGCGCACTGGTGCCGAGAGTGAGTTCGGTGTTGCAGGATGTTGCATATTTCTTTTGAACAAAGAAATTGCGTATTGTCATTAGAGAGTTTACGAAGAAATGGTCTCGACGACCGGCAACCCTCAACGCAACCCGCTACAACATCCGTAACTCTGCAGACAAGTTAAGTGGTGCACATGCGCAGTAGAGGCTCCTTCGCTCAGGAGAGTGTTGAGGACGACGGAATTGATCTACGAAAATTTCCCAATGCCTGAAACCAGATATGAACCTAAATATTAGAAAAAAGTGCTTGAAATAATAATTGAGGGCTTTCAAGGAGCTTTCAAGTCGAAGGAAAAGACAAAAGAGAAAGCTCAAATCCTTGTGACGTTCTGCTCTCTGGTCTTTTTCTTCTAATTGAAAGTGCAATTTTTTCGCACCACTGTCCCAGGTGTTACATCATGATTAACTTTGCTCTCCTAATATTTTAAACCTCCTCGCTTGCGCTGACCGACCGAGAAGTAACGAGAGGTTAAAAAGCTACGGGAAAGCCACCCACAGAACAAACGAAGCGATGCGTCGTCTGCTCATGTTTCTGGTGAGAGCAGTTGACAAAGCATCCCTCCCAGTATTTCTTCGTAGTTGACAAAGCATCATTTTGTGATACAAATTTAACAAAATTCAATTTCGAGTATGTACTTCAAAGTCGGGAATTGTGCTTTCCTCGGAAAGTACCAGAAAAACAAATACTTTAAGAAAAGTACAAGTACATACTCAGAGAATGTACTTCCAAGTAAAGTACAACTTTCCTAAACCTACTTGAAGTGGTACTTTAAGTACAATGCACCCAAAGCACTTCCCAACACTGACAAAAATCCATCTGGTGCCCGGCCTCGGCAAGCTCTTCCTTGTCTACTACTTCACTCCAAGCCACGATCTTCGGTCCCCTTGAGCAGCGTCCTAAATCTCCAAAGTCCTGGCTGTTTCAACTCCTGCCAGCCGTTATCTGCCTTCCAGTGAACATGTTGGGACCTCTGCTCCACTTCTTAGGACAACTTTCGTACACCTTACCCGCACACCTCATCACCTCTTAAACGGGTTCAAACCGGTTTCCACCCGTTTGAATTGAATTCGATCGTTATTTTTGCTCTCCGGCGCTCAACCGGAGCCAAACCGAAAGCCGTAAACCAGAGCACGAACCGAACCAATAAAAAGTTCGGTTCGACACTTTGCCTAAAGCAGCAGCTAACCCTGACAGCAAGACGTGCCTGCGTTGTCGTTGAGCGGGGAACATTGCGTTCTATCTTCTGGGATTAGTCACTGTTCACCCTTGTTTATGTAGGGATCGGCATAAATAGTGGGAAAAATACTAATACGAACTACAATATATAACGGCACCTAAAATAGTGATATCGAAATACACTCAAAGATTAACGATGCACACAAGAAATACATTTAAACAACACGAAGAGAAGAACTGCGAAATGAAAATGGGGGTACGCCTTGCAATGGCAGCATAAATGGTGGTTGTGAATCCTAGTAACGAATTCTAATTCGGCATCCGCCATCGGTATGACTTATGTGACTTGGAACACAAACATGCAATGTGTTCATTAATTCGATTCTTGTTTATCATCATAAGATGCAGCTTATAATTCAACACTATTCTCACTGCTTTCACAAAAGTACACTCTAAAAAAAGGGTATCACCTTAAACCCTTTTGCCCCAAATAATACACCCCAAAACTTGAGTTCGACGTACAGCGCCCTATAGTCCAACAGACGGCCACCAGTTTTACGAGAAGCTTGATAACGGTGCGATATAACTTTTTTTTTTTTAAATGGCTGAAGTACGTATTAAAAACCGCATAAATAAAATACCGACTTTTTGCAGTAGGACCAGGAAAACAACGATAATTTTTTTTTGTAGTTAGTAACACGTATATTAGCTATTTTAAGAAATTGCTCCGCACGACTATCAAACCTCTCGAATAATTTGGTGCCGTCTGTTCGACTCTAGGGCGCTGTACGTCGAATTGAAGTTGTGGGGTGTATTATATGGGATAAAGGGTGTAAGAATACACCCTTTTTTCTCAGAGTGTAGCTGTCATATGTGCGTTATATTTTTTTTATATACAGAGTGTTTTTAGGCTTTACAGGTTTGTTTAAGAAAAAGTTCTGAAAGCTACACTTATGCGATCTGCGCACATGAGCTATACGGCCAGGGGGACATAGAATAGGGGCTAATTCTGATAATTTGTTGGCTAATTAGGTAAAGTTTTTTCATAAACTTTATTTATATTAAAGATAGACATGTAGCTTTACATCAAGTATGGAACGAGGTTTCGTGCGGCGCATGGCTTTTTAAAATAGACACATATTGACGCTAGGTTGCGAAGTTTACATCAAGGGCGGATCACAACGGGCATGAAAAGAGGGCCCCAATTTGTATTTGAAATGTCAAGGAGCGGAAAGGGAAAAGGTTCTTAACTTAGCAGAAAACAAAATAACGTTTTGACGACAACACGACTTCAAGCCTAAGCAAAAAACAGTACTAGGTTTGGCTTTCTAACCTGAGACTATGGGAACAGAAAGAACGACTTCTATTCTCTTATTTCTAACATAGGGAGCTATGCAGTTGTCTACTTGCATTTGATAACTCCGTACGGAGCATGACCTTAGGCTTCTGAAAATGAACGTGAAACAAAAAGGTCAAAAAGCATCTTGTGTTGAGTTCAAATTGACAGTTCTGCCTTTTCACAAAAGATCGACAAGGTATCCTTTCATTTCAAAGCCGTGAAGTGTTTCGGTTTAAATTTTGATTCCAAAACAACTGATTGTTTTCCCGATGTGTACATTTGGCCCACGCGTCCTTTTATGTTGCTGGGCGTTCAGTCGTGCTTGTTATTTAGGTCGTTTTTTATATACTGTCTGGAAAATACAAAATGTTAACACTGATTTTCGAATTGATTAAGTTTCCATGGAAATTTAAAACATTATAGCACATTTCCTCCTAGTTCAACATTGTTTTCTTGGACATCAGGCTTTCCACCGTGATTGTAAAGTTAAATATGCGCTTGTTGATCCTGATATTTGGATGTCTTTAAAACTTACTTTCAGAGTGGGGAAGGGGAGGGGTCATGCGCTGTGAAATGTAACAAGATACTTTGGCCACAGATCGTGTTCTGTTTTCTTAGACAGGTCTGTAAATGCATTTAGCGATTGTAGCTTGATCTTCAGTGAACGATACGAGCCTGAATGTATCGATTTACAGAAGTAAAATTTCTGGCGGCTATCAGTTCGAAAGTCTTTGTTACCCAGCATAGACAGCCGGCAAGCATATTGAGTTGTCATTTGGACACCACTTTGAGCTGTCTTCACCATTTGTGGGATCGCTCTATAATAATCGCCGCCCGATCGGTATGTGTTTCGCTCGTCTCTCAGGGAGTGACACAACACAACGCGAAGTAAGCTTATCGGTTCAGTGTACTTCCCAGTTGTCCGTCCTCGAGAGCTGGCACTCCGGAATTGCCGACCCTGGTTGTCGCCCGTCGTTCAGAGCTCGGAGTCGGCGTCCGTGTCCAGGCCTCCGGATCGTCCTTGCCACGCCAACGCTGCGTGACCTAGCTGTTCCGAGCTAGCCTAAGCAGCGCGGCTAGCCCGGAAAGGAGCGGGCGGGGGTCTCGCTGCGGAACCAGCTTGGGATCGTTATGGTCTAGGCCAGTACGGCCAGGGCTCTCCGTTTCCGCCGGTTCCGACCCGAACCTCGCTGGTGAAACGCGCTGGGGATCGCCATGGGCCAGAACAACCAGAACGGTTCCATCGTTCCTACCCGGCCCCAACCAGGTGCAGCACACTCTTCCTGTTTCCTCGCGCTCGTTCCCGGCTAGAATAAAAGGCGGGTAATTGGAACCGAACTCTGCATGCTAGAGAACAGTACGCACATTGCAATGGCAGCAATGTGATGTGCAAGCCTGGTGTAAAAAGGTGATAGCCAACAAAGTTTGCATGTGAGGAGGATATTTAAGCTTCGCATGACCTTTTTCCAAAAGAAAACTTACGCATCCTGTTCTCTGCATGCATTCATATTAATTGCCAGACTCAGCATTAAATTCGATTGCCAAAACTAAACAAAAATGTGCAACGAAAATCCATTATTCAAGAACTCGCAGATTTGGAAGGTTTTTGCTTGTGACCGCGCGTTTGCCGAACGGCTATGCACACATACAACTACGAGTGCCGGAACGGGCCAACGGGCCTCTCGCCTCTTGAAGGCCTGATCGCCTGATTCTCGACGGCAAAGAAAAGCAACAATCGGCCCGATAGTTTCTACCGTATTTCCCTGTGTGGCTGTCTAAGTGACTCGTTAAACAACTTGTCTAAAATTGTTATTTTGCCAAGTAGTCTGCAAAACGAGTTCGTCGGACCAGTTTCCAAGCATGCACATCTATTTTCATTCACTTCAACAATTACTGTAGATTTCACACACTTGATGCGTCGCACTGCAGTAATCCACTTCTGTCGCCGTGTCGCTTCCCAAGATCTCGGAAGGAATCTGTATAATTTAACGCTTCAGTCACCTTCGTGACTGTGGGAGTCTTTCACGCAGCAGTGGCGACGTTTATTT